AAAAACTTGAGGTATTATTATTTAAACTTACTATCAGATTAAGATCCATGAATAAAAAAATATTTATTCTGGGTGACTTTAATATAGACACACTAATCTGTTCCAGCAAAAGTGTTATTTAAAAACACTTTAAAAAAATATAATTTGCACCTAACCTTAAATGAACCAACTCGATTAACATCACATTCTGCAACATGCATTGATAACATCATCACAAATAATCGGAAATACAAAGCGGAAATATGGGATTTGGGTATATCAGATCATACAAGCCAAGTTATAAAGATACCGTGTAGTGTAAGTTTCAGAGAAAAATACTGGTACAAAATGAGACGTAACATAAATTATTACATTGAAATATTTTTAAAATACATCTCTCAAATAAAATTTGATGACGTGTATCACTATAAGGATGCAAACGGTGCTTATGAAGAATTTATTCATTTATTTAAACTTGTATTTGATCTTTGTATTCCAACTGAAAAAGTTAAAATATGGTATAAAAAAGATACATCCTGGTAAACCAAAGGTATCATAGTCTCAAGTAAAAGTAAACGTAAAATGTACCTTCAAACAAAATACAGTGGCTCGCAGGAACATAAAATTAAATACGTTCACTGCTGTAAAATCCTAAAGCGTGTAATAAAAGAGTCTAAAAGAATTTCTAATGCCAAATTTATCTCATCTAGTACAAACAAAACTAAAGCCACATGGGCATTAATTAAACGACAAACCCAAAGTACAAATGTCCTTCAACCTACAATAGACTACATAGTGCAAAACGAAAATGTCATAAAGTCACCTGTAAAACTACGAGTAGCAAGTACTTTCAACCATTACTATATTAACCAAAACAGTAACACATTAATATCAAAGAACTATAAACCACAACACAGTTCTAACTCGAAAAGTATGTTCCTTTATCCAGTAGATAAATGTGAAATAATAAACATAGTTAAAAAATTAAAAAACAAACCCAGCTACGGATATGATAATATTGGGTATATACCCATTAAAGTAATCAAAGAAAGCATACCTTTTATTGCTGACCCGCTTGTACATATCATAAACGTAATGTTGGAAACGGGAGAATTTCCCAATAATTTAAAAAAAGCTCTCATAAAACCATTATATAAAAAAGGATCGCAGCACGACATAAATAACTATAGACCAATTGCACTGTTACCAAGTATTTCGAAAATATTTGAAAAAGTAATATATATTAGAATCACAAAATTTTTGGAAATTAATAATATTTTAAATGTAAACCAATACGGATTTCAAAAGAATAAAACTACATCTCTGGCAATATATAAATTATTTAATAACATTTGGCATAAAATCAATGAAAAAAACCAATGTGCTGCTCTTTTTATTGATATGTCAAAAGCATTTGACTGTGTAAAATATGATATTCTGTTAAATAAATTAGAAGGCATAGGAATAAGAGGGCTAGCACTTAAATTAATAGAAAATTATTTAAATAATAGAATGCAAGCAACAGTTATAGAGATATATAATGAAACTACAAAAATGGTGGAGGTAGTTAAATCTGAATTTGAAAATGTAATACTGGGTGTACCCCAAGGCAGAATATTGGGGCCGTCTTTATTCCTATTATATATTAACGAGCTCCCAAACATAATTACCCACCTATGCGTAATGTATGTCGATGATGCAACTATATTTATTTCTAATGATGACTCAAATAATATTGATTATGAAAAGGAAATAAACAAAACATTGATAACAGTTACTGATTGGTTGCAGTCAATAAACTTGAAAGTAAACCTATCAAAAACCAAACTTATACAATTTAGAAATTACTAAAGTATACCTGCCAAACTAAATATAACCGTCACTGATATAGCGGTCGAAGAAGTAAAGAGCATAAATTTTCTAGGAATCGAAATAGATCAACATCTAAACTGGAAGGCACATATTGAAAAAATAAATAAAAAGATATCCAGTGCATGTTACGCATTGTCCATTCTGGCAGAGACTACAAATGTAAGTGTCACTAGAAATGCCTATTTTGGAAGCGTTTATCCACTCCTAACTTACGGTATCATATACTGGGGAAACTCAACAAATGTACAATCCACATTCGTTCTCCAGAAAAAATGTATTAGAACAATATATAACATGCATAGTACCGAATCGTTAAGAGATATTTTCAGGACGAAGGGTTTCCTAACATTGACTGGAATCTTTATCCTGGAATTATGCCTATTTGTAAAAAACAACATGCAATATTTTAATTTGAAATCTGATTTAAAGAAAAACCATCGCGAAATATATAAATATGATATAAACTTACCTATTATTAGAAATATGATCTATTATAAAAGTACCTATATTACTGCTATACGTGTATACAACCAGTTACCACTAGCTATTAAGCAATTAAATGGATTTCTAATATTTACGCGAACACTACACATTGAATAAAACTATTTTTACGGATTTTATCGCGTTTAATTAACTTATTTTATATTTCCGACGTTTCGGTTGCTTTCCAGCAACCGTGGTCACGGGGGACTAAGGTGATTGACGTCCCGATGTCAAAGTTAACCCGGAGTACCTTCAGCTTTTTAATTATTAATTTTGGTCCGATCTACGCAGAATGAACTAACTGTGTCTTGAAGTCTTGCTAAACCCAAAACTAAACCTAAACCCAAGCATACCACTGCAAGACTTCAAGACACAGTTAGTTCATTCTGCGTAGATCGGACCAAAATTAATAATTAAAAAGCTGAAGGTACTCCGGGTTAACTTTGACATCGGGACGTCAATCACCTTAGTCCCCCGTGACCACGGTTGCTGGAAAGCAACCGAAACGTCGGAAATATAAAATAAGTTAATTAAACGCGATAAAATCCGTAAAAATAGTTTTATTCAACAATTAAATGGAAATATGTTCAAAACAAAATTAAGGAAATTGTTAATTGAAAGTGGTTTTTACAATCTCAATGAGTATTTTAGTAAAAGTAATGTTAGTAAGTAGTTAATTATAAATTTATTTTTCATTGTTGCATATCCGACATGGGTAGACTGTTGAGACTAAAACTATATGTTTTTCTATTAAGATCATATTGTACACAGTTATGCAATAAATGTAACTTTATCTTATCTTTACATCCTCGTTGTATTTTTGTGCGAGCATACTGGCTTGGATCCAAACGAGCTGGGTTCGCCCGCAAAGACGAATTCCTGCCTACATCATAATTGTCCCGCCTTGGTATGAGTAGAACTCCTGATGGTGCCGTAGACGCCCTGGATTTCTCCAAACGCGTGTTTTTCGTGAATCCGAATGAAACCTAAACTGGGACTTATTGGTGAACAGCACCAAAGAACATTGTTCGTCACTCCATGGTAAATGCTCCCGAGCCCACGAAAACCGCCGACAGCGATTGCCACGTCGCAATGCTGGAACACGTAGCGATCTTCGAGCATGAAGACCAACTTCATGCAACCGCCTTTTTTTTAGTCGCTTACCAGCAGCTGGTGGTCCTCCTAGAGCCTTTGTAGTAGTTGCATCACTGTGATATAGGATTGTCTTCTGGAGGTCATTTGAAGAAATCGATCCTGCCTCTGCGTAGTAACACGATATCTACCCGTGTGCTGTTCAGCCACACCCCCAGTACTGCGATGACCTGACCACAACCTTGATGTCACGTTTTGGCTAGTGTGTAGGGCCTCAGCAACGATGCGTTGAATAGCACCATTTTCTAACATGCCCACGGCTCGTAATGTAAAAATCTTTACTCAAATGACGACATGACATTACTCTTAAAGACACGACACGTTAAATCTTAAGAAAAACAATCTAATCCCTTTTCATTGATTAATATCAGTAGATCAATTTTGATTTTCCTTGACGTAACGAATTACTAATGATTTTGCCGCCGTATTTGGTTTGTTCCTGTTTTTTTTTTTACATTTATAAATTTTGAAAATATTGTTGCACGCCACTATTATTTTTTTGTATATGGCAATACTAGTTACCACTAGCGCCCTCTAGTGTCGAGTAGCAGAACTAGGAGAGTCAAGATCCTTCTAGAAATTTCGGGACCGATATGTACTCGAACATTCTAGATGTCGCTACAGTAGAAGGTTCTGGAAACTATCTGAGGCCTATATAAGGCCGGTATAGACCACGACCGAGTCAGTATTGAATTGACGATATAAGCGAATACTTCGAAGTAATATAACTGCGAACTAAAGTGATCAGTAGTACAATTGTGTTTTATTATTAGTGTGTTTTTAAGTTGTTATTAGTATTCCGTAATTAAAGTGTCAATTTTGGTAATTCAATCGGCAGTTTTTAATTGTCTCGAACCCCAAGCTCGTAACAATATAATAAAATAGGTATCAATCTGTATATAAACTTTTTATGGAAACGTAAGGTATCTCTATATTTTGATGTGTTCATATTAATACACAAAACAATGTTTTAGAGGTTTGATGTTTAATTTTTTGCTCCTTTTATCAGTTTATTTTTTATTATTAATTATATCCATAGTTTGGTTTATTAATTTCTAATCTAAGTAACCGCAACATTAACCCTTACACGTTCATAAGAAATTATCTTCCCCGCTATGAAATCTGTCCAATATTTCACCTCATTGCAAAGGACGCTGCGCCGGTAGCAGAAAAAATCGTGGATTTCTTTTATAGAATAAGGATGACAAACAAGTACACAGTTCACCTGATGGTAAGTGGATGCTATGGCTACATTTATCCTCGATTAAGAATTAAAATGCATATACGTTGTTACCTCTAAGTACTAAGTTTTATATATATATATAATACCTCGTTTCCAGTAAAACGGATCTCCGGTTCTCAACACTATACTGTTATTTTACGCGTTGTTCTGTGAAAGCGTAGTTCTACCCTAGTCAAGCCTAGCTATTTGTGTTATAACCATAAGATACCTGTAGCGTGGTTTTAGCACGAATATGGCGCGCGATGTGGATGATGCGGTCACTGGTCGTTACCTTGACGCCCTCGCACAGGAAGCAGTCCCAGACGCGCAGCAGGCTGTCCCAGGGCAGCGTGCGGGTGAGCGCGCACAGGAACCACTCGGTGGCGTAGAGCACGGGCTCCACCTTGTGGCGCGCCAGGTGGCGGTGCACTGCCGGAGCCGTGCGCCGCAGCAGCGCCTGCAGGATGTCGCCGTCGCGCTGCAGCACCTGCACACCACGCACCAACACACATATATGCATAAACAATCAACAACATGGTTTTAGACACTTTTTTATATTTGAAAGAATTGCATGATGCCTTCGCGGTCCAATCGCTTTCAGGAACCACCAGTGATCCTCAGACCGCGGATTAAGAACCACTGTTTTAAATGTATATGTGTGCATACAACAATAAACTTTAACAGATTCTTAAAAAAAACGGTCGTCGCAAAGATCGAGTAGGGCCGCGCATATGATCGTGATTTTTACAAAATAATCGCAAAAATATTGATTTAAGGTTATAAACAAATTTTTACACACAAAATTTATAACCTTGGATTTTAACAAATTTTCACAATTTTCATTTTAAGATAAGTTAAAATGCTTTTAACTTTGAGAATATCAAATCATTGAAAAATTGCTACATGCCAAGTGTAACGACACCTATAGCCACATCCTCCTAACAACGGGAGAGTCCCCGCAATGGACTCTTACTGTAATGTAAAGATGATCTTCAAGTTCTCACTCAATCTTTACAAGTAACATCGCAAAGTCTTCGAATAAAAGTAGTGTTACCTCCAACCCAGGGTTGTAATATCCGCTGAGATACTTGTCGCTGATGCTGACAAGGCACCAGAAGGCTTGCACGGCCGGCATGTGCATGAGCAGGAAGGCGGCCACCGGCGCCTGCGCCTGAAAGTAGCCCACCTTCGGGTTCAGCACCGAGTACGCCTTTAGCACTGAGAACAGCTCTTGTTGCCTGAAAAAGATACATACAACGTCTTTTTAGTGTTCACTATAATTTGTATACAGGTAACATAATATAATCTAGTGTCAACTTAATCCTAATCTCATCTCAATCTGAATGACAGGGTGAGAATTTGTGAGAGAAAAAAGAAAAGTGTGATTTGCAATATGATGTTGAGGATTAAGAAAGGAATGCTTCGGTACTTTGGTCATTTAGAAAGAATGAACCAGAAAAGAGTAAGATAGCAAATTTAGTTGTAAGAGTGAACAACAGAGTAGGCAAGGGACGCCCTAGATGAAAGTTTATGGACCAAATTGGCGATATATTAAAGATGGGCTAGATTAAGAGTAACCTTAACCGACGATCATGTGTGTGTATGTATATGGATGTAGAGGAAGCGTGAAAGATGTGTTGCCACTGCTGAACGTAGAGTTTTCCTAGATACTAGGACTTTTTTACTACGAATCAGTCTGAGTGGAGACTACATGAGAATCTAGAGAACTAGTATAACTACAGGATGTAAGACATCACATCTTATTCCTAAGTAGTATCAACGCATCTAATCTTTGTGTCGTCACGCCACAAGCGAAACACATTGAAGCCTAAATCGCGCTATCAAAGTTCCGATGTAAATCAGTATATATATAGAATAGCTCCGAACTACCATTCAAAGCATTGGCCACTTCCCTGCAGAACACCTTTCCCGGCGGGAGGTCTCCCCTTTTCATTCCACGGCCATGCCTTCTTTATTTGAAGTGAGGGCTGCAGTAGCCAGTGACCGTTTGTTTTTCATTTCTTTTTTAAATACTTACAACTAGAACGTGTTTTCTTTCGTTTAGTCCTATGGTGCATGCAAGTAGTTCCAAAAAATTACACACTGAACGCTTACATATATACGTTCGACGCACCCTGAGCAATCGGCGAGTACTCTCACAACCTAACTAGCTATGGAAAATCTTAGGTGTATTTACTTAGCTGCAGTAAAAATTAATTTATTCGACCTGGAGATCAGCAACCTGTGTTTCGTATGGTGATTGATGATATTCGCAAGCATTTCATCTTAATCCTAAAGTGTGACATGGCATCTAAACTTTGTTTCCTGACAACATTTTCATTTTAATATCTATTTTTAATATCTTCATTACCTCACCTTTGTCAAACTCGATTATATGTTCTTTAGCCAATGCTGCATTTTCAAAGATCCCAATGATTACAATAATTTTGCTTCTGTGTTAACGCTCACTTGTTTCTGCCACGATTTTTCAGCACTGAACATCGCAACGCAGCAGCCCACTGACCGCGTTACCAAAACTCACTCACACAAGTAGTTGTTGCTGAATAATCTTAGTGTATAAATTGTAACGAATTGTAAATAAAACTCTCTTTCAACGCTAGACCACGACTTTATTACTATCGCCGAGGACTCCTGGTAAGGTCTCCCTCTCCCTGCAGTCAAGACACCTTTAGTCGTCAGAACCTCCAATCAGTCTTGTGAGTCCTGCTAGACTGGCAGTTAAGAGACCCCATCACCTAACCCTCACATCCTGTCTCTGTCTGTGCGTTACTTATCTAATTTATGTATGTATATTTATATGGTAAGGCTAGGGTATTAGGGACTGCTAGGTATAGGAAACTTAGGGTCTGTAGGGTCTAATACTCCTGCCATATTCATGAGCAGAAAAGTAGTTAAGCTGATAAAGACGAATTGGGTTAATATTTCTGACTGCACAGAGAAGTAGTTCCTGTAGTTATTTTAAGGTTTTTACTTTCAGATTCAAGATGGCAATCTGTTCACTGTTTTTGGTTCTCTCTAACAAGTGCGAATTATCAGATTTTAATATTTATATTATTAATTTGTAAGTTCGTAATCGTGTGTAATTCGTATACTTTCTTCTTTATCCTCAGATGAAGTAATAAAAGGTAGATAACACGCGGTCTTTGTTATTGGTGAAGCCACAAAACTCAGCTCCTTTAAGTAAACACGCGTTCACGCACACACATGCATCAAACTACGCTCATAATCCTCAGTACATCCCGAGGCGTCGTGCAGTACGTTTGCACATAAAATGCCGTCCTTTGTAATTAGAGGGTGCAAAAACAATACTAAAATGAACAAAGTCTGAAAAAATATCGTTTTACATTCCATTTTTTCATTCCAACATAATTTCGAGGTTTTCCGGAACACAATATCAACGTCCAGAGTTTACGTAACGGGAGAATGTTGCCAGTATTTCTTTTTTTTTTTAATAGCCCAAGATTTGGATAAGTAAATTATAGGTAAAGTCATAAAAATATATCTAGTGACCATAATTTTTTTTTAATTCACTGGTTATTACTATTTAACTATCTATTATTATTTACGGTTTTAGGTTTCCAGCGATATTTTAGTAAGATATGAATGGGTTGCTTTATGGCTAAGCCGAAATTAACAGCAATTTATTTATTTCAACTTTATTGAACCTCACATAAAACAGGATACAAAGGCGGACTTAACGCTAAAAGCATTCTCTGCCAGTCAACCTAGTTAGGGCAGTGGTAAAACTACGAAGGCGGCACAAAGAACATATTATGTAAAGAGGGTTGGTTATCTTTTCTTTCCGTTATTTTATATGATAAACATGTTTCACATCACATTTGTTGTATTTTTTCTCGTTGCTTACACGCTCACTGGACGATCAATACAGTTTCAGATCAATCGACTTTTTTAAATGATCCTATAAACGCCCACTACATTCATCATCACTTTTTAAACTGTCAAATTGATGGAATAAAATAATTTATAATAAAAAAGTGGCAACACCTCTCGGACTCACACAAAATTATAAAATTGGCAACAGTTTCTTATTCTAAGAGCGATATCTACATTTTTTTATTACTTCATCAGTGTTTTTATCACTGTTATGCCGTCGTTTTCTTCTAGTCATATTCTTTTACTACGAAAAAGGATTATTTTCGACTTATTAAGTTGTGAATCACGAAGTGTATCACTCAAATCACTTCTTGTAGGTGAGTACAACATTCATTCTTATATCTGGTTATTAGCTCGGTTAGGTATAAATTACTCACGTGGTATATAGCTAGTATTAAACAAATCAAAATGATGCTTTTTGCATAAATTATTAAAATTATTAATAGACCGATACATGAAAGTATTTCTTCTATAATTAGTTGATGAAGCTGGTAAGTAGAGTAATGCATTCGTTCTAAGGTTCACTGTAGGCGTTCTCAGTGATATTTGTGATAGCAAATCGGAACAGTCAACATTGCCAGAATGGATTTTCAATAAAAATACAATGTCGGCAATCTCCCGACGCTTTATCAGAGGTAGCAGATGATGGTGTTTGTATAAGGATAAGTAGTCATCTGATCGGTAGTTTCTATGGGTACGATTACAAAGATATCGTATAAATTTACGTTGGATATTTGCAATCCGTGAAATGTATGTATGATACATCGGGTTCCAAATCTGTGAAGCATACTCAAGCGTACTGCGGACGTAAGTACAGTACAAGATTTTAATTATTTTAAAATTATTAAACTCCTTTGCAGTACGCATGACAAAACCTAACGCCTTAGATGCCCTAGTTATGACATTGTCAACATGGGTGTTGAATAATAACTTAGAGTCGTGGAAAATCCCTAGATCACGTACAACAGATATTTTTGTAGAAATGTAACACGTCTGCACTGGACGCGATATCTAGTCAAACATTAAGTCCAAATAATCGCAGTTTTTTTTTAGTTGATATCATGAAGATGCTGTTGCCCATCTCCCGTTTCTGTATAGTTCAAGACCTACGACAGAAATGACATTTTTCTAAATAACGTGAGCTCACAAACACTTCAGCCAAGTGTTTTCAAGAAAAAGTGATAAATCCGCATCACGGGCACATTGCACAAATTATTATCGCATGATTCGGCAAGTGTAATACGGGGCTTCCAGGAAGTTTTACCTCGCAATGTCACAAATACCGCATAAGGTACCGTTGCCGCCACATATAAGATTATAATTGGACAAAGCGTATTCTTGACTGCATGATAATTAAGATATACTTTTTTTAAGGAACAGTACTCACGACTAGTCGTCGCTGCTAATAAGAAGGACGGTTCTTTTCTCGCTCAAAGGCTAAGTATAGCCGATCAGCGAGGAAACGCAGCCAGCGTTCTTGGCATTATACCGTGGAGTTTCATACAGTCGTATGACAATATTTACTGACTATATGAAAGCTTTTAATTTTTTTATGGTTTTTTAATATTGTATATATTTTAATGTTACTTAAATGAAAATAAATCTTAAGTCTGTCAATTTCACATTCTTTCCGCATATTTAAATTATATATTAAATAAATTATGTCTCATAACTTACACTTCAGACACGTTTTTCGCATCCTAATGTATTAACGTCAATTCTAGTTCGGTTAGTAGAAAACTAAACAACACCATTAACATAACACAGAACCAGTTCTTGTGGTAGACAATTGAGTTCGATTATTGACTGTGGCACGTACATCGCTGAACACGGGAATATTACATTAATAATAGTTCCAGTTTTTTTTATAAGTGAATAATCTTTTTTATAACTTACAAAAATATTTCTTGTCACAGATGGTTGACACATTGTATTTAATGGTAGACTCATCTTGTATATATCTAAGTATATCATCCTTAATAGTTCTTATGTCCCTGACTGGGCGGGAGCCTCGCCCGATGTATCGAAAAAATTCATTCAACACTCATTAATTACAATAATTAATAGAATCAGGCGTTACTTTGCGGAAGTCCATTATATTAAATTTGACAAAAAATTACTTTGCGTTCTTCCGCTACATAAAATAAAATGATGTGTCTTACCTAGTTTGAAGAGCACCTCCCGCCCTCCCTGCGTGCACTATCCTCGTCACCACTAATCCCAGCACCACTACTCCCAACACCACTACAGTAGGAAAGACACACCACTGACGACAATACGACACGTGTTTCGCCTCTACACGAGGCATCCTCAGGTGATATAG